CAGCACCGAGCGGCCCGTGCCGTTCCCCGCCGGGGCGCAAGGGGCGCTGCCGCGCGGTGCCGCCGGTGCGGCCATGGCGGAGGGTCCCGGTGCCCAGCCGGGCTTCGGCCGCCCCGTCCCGCCGCCGCAGACCGGCTGGGAGCGGCTCCGCGAGCTCTGGCAGCGGGAGTGAGCGCCGGGGATGGGGCGGGATTGGGCCGGGGCCGCTCCCGCCGGTGCCTCCCCGCCTCATCCCGGCCCTTTCCCTTTGCAGCGAGCTGCAGCGGTTCCCTGAGGAGACGGTGAACCTCTTCAAGGCGGCGTTCACGGCGGGCCTGGCCGGCTGGCTGTACGGCGGGCTGCCCGCCTTCGTCAGCGCCCGCAAGGCCTTCATCGAGCGCAGCCACGGGGAGCTGTTCCAGAACCGCGCCGATGCCGTGGTACGGCATCCCCGGGGGGGAGCCGCTGCCCCAGGTGTGGGGTTTGCCCTTGGAGCCCGCTGGAGGCCGTGTGGCCTCGCGTTTGTAGGACGCGTGTGTGTGTCTCTGTGTCTCTGTGTGTGTGTGCCCTATTTTGGTACTTTGCGGCAATAAGAGCGAGGCGTTTGCTGTGTCTTGAGTGTGTGCAGCCTGCCTGGTCAGCTGCTGTAAGTTGGCTCTTCCCTGATACCCAAAATTCCGCACGGTTAACTTAGAAGAAAGTGTCCCTAAGTTACAGAAAGAGCTGGTGACAAAGTTTCCCGTTCTGTTAAATGGCCGATTAGTATGTCTTGAAGGGCCTTTTTGCTTCTTAATTTTAGTGTGCTGGCAAGAGACTTCACAGCGCTTTTGTCTTAATAATGGGAGTTATTTTAAGACCGTTTAAAGTTCTTTTACAGCAGCACAACAAAGAACATTTGTGACATTTTATAGATGTGACGTATGTGGACTTTAAAAGTGTTGGTTACCCGGATCAAGAGGGAGAAAACCCCTTTAAAAATCTGCCTGATGTAAAATCTGATTTTTCATCACTCTCAATTAGAGTTTGCCCCTGACATAGCAGCCTGTAAAGTACCAGTGGCTTCCCTCTGGTGACTCTGCACCCGAGCTAAGCTTTTACACCACAAGCACTGGAATTGAGAATTTATTTACTTTTGTGGTATTAACTGCAACATTTTTAATTTTCCTGAAGCTTCTACTTATCACGTCTTTTAAAAACCCTCTCGTTTTCAAACTTTTAAGCGCCAGCATTAAACTGCAGAGCTTGGAGGGTCTGTTAACATTTAATGCAGGCGGTTGTTATTTACTTGCTGTTGTTTACTGATGGTTATTTAATTATGAATACTCTCTGAGCTCATAATAACGAACTAGTTTCTAGTTTTTTGTGTAACCTGTCCTCTCTCTGGCCTTAGCAATCTGCACATCGTGCTGGCCTCCGCAGTTTCATCCGCTACGGCTGGCGCTGGAGCTGGAGAGTCGCGGCTTTCGCGACAATATTCAAGTAAGTGTTTCTCGACAGCAGCTGGAGGAGAGCTGGCTTTGTGCTCCTGCATCAGGAGGCAGCACTCACAGCTCTGGTGACTGGTTGAGGCTCCAAGTGTTTCGCTAACATGATTGATCAGGCGTGAACGTGAAGAGGGTTTAACCTTTTAGAATGATCCCAGAATTCAGATCTTCTCACGAACCAACCCAAACCCTAAAAGCCCTGTTCTTGCATCTAATCCATGATGTTGGTGGCTGGAATACTGTTCCTCCCTTCCTTGACAGCTTCTTTCTGCTTTTGTTTCACCTCTCTTTGTGTGTTTTTCTCTGGGAGAGTGTGATAGCGTGTTGGCAGTTTCTGGAAGAGCTTTCTATCCCACATTAATTTTTCTCCTTGTTGCTATGCCTCGTTACTTCTAGTTTGTATACACCAATGTTACTCACAATCTCTGTCATCACTCCTAATTTGTGTGCACTAATGTTACTCACAATTCTTTGTTTTTGTCCTCAAACTCTTTGCAGATGGTTGTCATGTTCTTAAGCAGTCGCTGAACATCAGACCTTCCAGTTCTATGTACCTTTTCAGGCCTTCACATTTTCCCTGCACACACAAAACCCGTGCAGAGAGAGTGTTCCGCTCCCCCGAGTTTCTCCCTTGGATGTTTCAGTGCATTTCTGACAACAGAGCATCAAATTAAGAATGCTCTTCCAAGTAGAGCCCTTTTAAAACTAGGAATATCTCTTTCCCTGACGTTCAAAGGGGTAAATCTGTGTGTGGTCCTAAGCCTGCTTTGTCTCTGTGTGCAGGTATGTTCTGTCCCCTTCTGCTTTTGAGACCCCAGCAGTGTTTTGACTGTCGTTATTTGATGTTTTTGTCTCCCTGACTTTTTGTTCCTTTCTGAATTTCTTCCTCGATCTTTTCTTTTTGTTTGGTATCTGGTTTTAGGTTTAGTTAGCCTACAGTTTGCCTTCTCTCCAGGAGCTTTTGATTTCTGTGGGTTTTCCTGTGGATTTCTTTGGATTTGACACGTAACCTCCACCAGGTGTCTCCCCTGCAGTCAGATCAGCCCCCTTTTCACCACCACCCCTTTGGAAAAGGCTCTGAAAGGAGCTGCTCGACATTAAATGTTTCTGTAGAGCCCCAGTTGAAGGTTTTGCCCTGCAGCTGTGCAAATTTCAAGTTTCACAGTTAACACCCAAGAAAATCGGGCAAGGTCTTACTGACACACGGGTCAGCTTCTGGGGGTAAAGGTCCTACAGCAGGACTGGCTGACTGACAGGGCTTTGTCATTGCTCAGTTTCTTTTATCCTTGACTATATTCTGTTTTCCAGTGAGGCACTGGAACAGTGAGGCCGTGGATGTCCCATCCCTGGAGGTGTTCAGGGCAAGGCTGGATGGAGCTCTGAGCAACCTGGGTCCAGTGGAAGGTGTCCCTGCCCACGGCGGGGGGATGGAACTAAATGATCCCTAAGGTCCCTTCCAACCCAAACCATTCCATGGTTCTGTACAATGGAAAAAAAAAAAAATCTTTGATTAAAAAAAAAAGAAAAAGAAATAATATCCCAGATCCCAGCTGGGAACTCTGGTATTCCCTGGCCTGTGTCTGTGCAGCTGCTTCAGTAAAGCCA